GCAGGTGTAAGATGGTATCTTAAAGTTGTCTTGATTTGCATTTCCCTGATCGCTAGGGAAGTTGAGCATAACCTTAAGTGTCTTTTGGCCATTTGAACTTCTTCTGTTGAGAATTTTCTGTTCAGCCTAGTGCCCCATTTTATAATTGGGTTGATTAGTTTTTTACAGTCTAGTTTCTTGAGTTCTTTATATATTTTGGAAATCAGACCTTTGTCAGTTGCGGGGTTGGTGAAGATCATCTAACGCAATGATGTATATCTTGAATATCACCATAGAACCTTGCTTTGGCGATAGATGGAGATAGAGACAGAGACCCACATCGGAGTGCTGGATTGAACTCCCAAGGTCCAGTTGAAGAGCAGAATGAGGGTGAATATGAGCAAGGAAGTCAGGACCGGGAGGGGTTCACCCACTGAAACAGTGTGCCTGAGCTAATGGGAGCTCACCAAATCCAGCTGGACTGGGACTGAACCAGCATGGGATCAAACTGGACCCTTTGATTGTGGCTGACAATTGGGGCAGACTTTGAAGCCAATGATAATGACTCTGGAATTTGTCTCTACTGCATGTACTGGTTTTTTGGGATCCTATTCTATTTGGATGTATACCTTCCTAAGCCTTGATGGAGGGAAAAAGTCCTTGGACTTCCTACAGGGCAGGGTACCCTGCCCTCTCTTAGGACTGGATTGGGAGGGGGGATGGTGAGTGGGGGAGTGGGAGGGAAGTGGTAGGAGAGGAGGAAGTGGAAATTTTGATTGGTATTATTTATAAAGTAATTAATAAAAGAACTAAAAAAGAAAATATCACTAATGGAAGTATAAAATGCTATTCTCTCACTGGCCACATTATTTGGTACTATCTTAAATATCTTAAATATATCTTCATTCATTATATATAACATGATATTGTTAGTTTGTTTTAAGGAGATTTCATTCCACTTAGAAAAAGATTGAAAAATATATCTTTGCCTATATTTGCCAAGGGTTAGCATCACGGGTCCTTTCTTTTTTTCCCCTTTCTCTTTAACTCCAGCTTTAGGGGGTCCAGTGCCTTCATTTGGCATTTACTGTTACTGCACTCACAAAGACATGGACAGACAGAAATAAACATTTCATAAAAAGAATACTTCCAGCTGAGAGGCAGAGGGAGGCAGATCTCCGTGAGTTCAAAGCCAGCCTGGTCTACAAAGTGAGTGCCAGGGCTACACAGAAAAATCCTGTCTCAAAAAAAAAAAAGAAAAAGAAAAAGAAAAAGAAAAACAGGGCTGGAGAGATGGCTCAGAGGTTAAGAGCACTGGTTTCTCTTCCAGAGGTCCCTGAGTTTAATTCCCAGCAACCACATGGTGGCTCACAACCATCTGTAATGAAATCTGGTGCCCTCTTCTGGCCTGCAGGCATACATTTAGGCACAACAGTGTATACATAATGAATGAATAAATAAGTATTTTAAAAAAGATTTAAAAACAAAAAACCAATAACAAACAAAATAGTTCCTCCAAATTCTGTGTGTATGTTAAATTGTTTTTTTCAAAGAAAACAAATATAGAATAATGACATTTGGGATTTGCCTAATAATTTCCTCATGATTGTAACTGGGTTATGAATTTGGGACAAAACTAATTCTGATATGACATTGGGGGCCGCACATCATGAGGTGATGATAGATTGGATCGCATTGTTGTGGTTATTGTGGTCTCTGCTGGAGAGGTGCGTGGCCACCTGTTTAAACTCCTGCCGACATTGTCTTCGCAGCCTTTCTCACTCTAGTTCAGCATCCGATGGTGATGTGCTGCTTGGAAGTTTACACAGACCCTCAAGGTCTCCGGGGATGCAGTCCACATTATCTTCCAGCATTTCCTGCTGCCGTTGGGGCCAAGGTCGTCTCTGCCCAGTGTTCCCTGTGTTCATTCTTTCCAGTTTTCTCTGCCCCTCACTCACCCAGCCCAACTGTTCTCTCTACTCTTCCAAATCTTTCGCGTTCTTGGAAGTCTCTTCAGTGTAATTTCCAAGCCCTCTGTTCTATAAAGAGTAATTTTGTCTCTCTAGTGAACAGCTTCCTGTTCCTAGCCCTGCCAACAGCACAGCCATCTTCCTTCAGGGCTTTGTTATATTAGATACAGAAGTACTTAAGATAAAAAGACTAATTGTACACAGAAAGACAATTATCACATGTACTCACTCATAGGTGGTTTTTAAACATAAAGCAAATAAAACCAGCCTCCAAACCACAATCCCAGAGAACTTAGACAACAACGAGGACACTAAGAGAGACTTAGAAGACAAGATCTCCTGAGTAAATTGGAAGCATGGAGACCTTGGGGGAGGATTGAAGTGGGGAGAGGAGAGGCAGGGAGGGGAGCAGAGAAAAATGTAGAGCTGAATAAAAATCAATAAAAAAGTTAAAAAAAACTAATTGAGATTCTTCCTTTCTGACCACATAATCCCCTCCCCTCCTCTCAGCCAACCACTTGGAAATCTAGTGTGGCTTCCCCCTTTATCTACCTTTTCCATCTCACCATATTTGTTTAGTGTCCTAAGTTTTTTTTTTAAAGATGATTTTGCTTATATGTTCTGGAATTTTATGTGAATGCTTTCTTCTGTACACATTTTTATACTTTTGTTTACATACAAATATGCTGTTAATGTACTGTTACTACATTTAGCCTCAGTTCATTTGTTCTCCGATACGTAAAAAAAAAAAATTAAATCCATTCTCTTTTTGAAGGCATTATGGATACTTCTTGTTGCCAGGGCTTCTATAAACACTATGTTAGCTACTTTTATTACCACTAAAAATCCAACAGTTGCAACTTCAAGCAGAGGAGATCTATTTTGATCCAACTTAAGAAGATATCATTCCAGGAAAGATTTGGCAGAAGCCTGAGTTGTAGGTGGTGGTGGGTGTTCAAGTCCCTGTTGGCTCATGGCCATCTCATAATACAAAATTCTTCCAGGCCTACCTCAGGAGTTCCCAGAGTCTTAATAGTCCACATCATCGAAAGTCCAAAGTGATTTGAGAAACAAAGGAGAACTTTCAGCTGTGAGTCCCTATAAAACAATTTTCACAGCTTACAAAGGTGCAAAGGAAAATCCTCATTTTAAAAAGTAAGTCTGGGAGAACAGCAAGGAAAGACTGGTTCAATGAAAGACTAAATCCAAGCAGGGCCAACAAAGGCTGCATCTCGGTGTTCAGTATCTGGAATACACACAGTGGCATACCTGTGTATACATGTGTATAGCACACTGGCTACCCAGACTCACGAATTGCTTATATAGAAGAGCTGCTGGAGAGGCCACTGGATGAAAATGTGATTGGACCAGAGGATGCTCTGTCAGCTCTCTGGATAGAAGGGGCAGCCTTTACAGACTTATAGGCAGCTAACTTTCTTCTCTACGGCGGCTCACCCCCGGACACATGTACTGCCCATATATTTGCCATATATTACCCAGTCCACAATCACAAACAATGGCAAATCATAGAATGGAGGAATCATTTGTTATGCAGTTGGCAAATGCCTGCATTATGCAAACCATTTAATCTGAAATCATCTTTAGAGGGAATCGTAAGTGTACAAATTACAATAACTGACAGGACATATCATTGAGCTCTTCTCTGAAAGCTTCTGATATGCCTCTTTAGCTGTCAGCTGCTTTGCCTCCTGTTTGGTAGCGCCTGAACCAAAACCATATGTTGTCGACCCAATTTTGCATTTAGAATTAAATCTAGAAAAAAACGTGAGTATTCACTTACATATCAAAAATGTTGTCAATCAATGTACAATTTGGGGGGGGGGGGAAGAACCCTACAGACAAATAAAGGCCTTAAGATGAGACTAATAATTTTTTTTTAAAGATTTATTTATTATGTATACAACATTCTTCCTCGATGTATGCCCGCACGCCAGAGGAGGGCACCAGATCTCAGTACAGATGGTTGTGAGCCACCATGTGGTTGCTGGGAATTGAACTCAGGACCTCTGGAAGAGCAGCCAGTGCTCTTAACCTCTGAGCCATCTCTCCAGCCCAGACTAATAATTTTTTAACTATGTTTATGTTTTCTACCTCATATAATTTAAACTCCACAGAGTTGATGACTGCATTTCCCTCTAAGAACGGGACACACCAGATGATGCAAAATCAACTGCCTGTGCTTGGAAGATAGCACACCGGAAACTGGATGTTACAGTAACACTGAAGACACATACGTGTGCAAATATCGAGAGCACACATGTGTTTATCCTGGGTGGCATTGTGACATGACATCGTCATCTACAGAGTTGACACTCCAGAATTTAGCAATTAAGTTTTTTTATTTTGTTTGTTTGTTTATTCGAGACAGGGTTCCTCTGTAGCTTTGGAGCCTGTCCTGGAACTAGCCCTTTTAGACCAAGCTGGCCTCGAACTCACAGGGATTTGCCCTCCTCTACCTCCCGAGTGCTGGGATTAAAGGCGTGCGCCACCACAGCCCGGTTTTAGCAATTAAGTTAAAAAAAAAATAAAGTCGCGAAGTTCTCATGATGTCTTACCCTGAGGGATTTTGTTGGGCAGCATTCATCATAGCTTCCTAAATTGGACAGCCTGGCATCAGACCTCATTTTTATGAAAGCAGATTAGTTTGGAATTCCAGGTTTTGTCCTGCCTGTGGTCGCTCATTGGTATTCCTGCTCCCTTTCTCTTCCCTCTCCTTCCCTTGGGTCAGTTGTCTTCTTGCCTATTGGGCAGTACCTAGGGGCAGCACTTCCCAACTTTTACGTGTAAAGAGGGGTTGTTTAGGGATCTGGCTAAGAGGTCCCACATTTCTGGCCAGTCCCAGGCTTGTTGCGGTTCCTCTGACACACTTTGGGTTCAGAGTGGGGAGAGGATCTATATGCAAGATTTGGAGGCGGTGTCCTGGGTTTGGGTTCAAATGTGAATTCTTTTTTTTTTGAGTGTGCCCGAGGGCTGGATAATCTTGCCTGTAAAATGAGCAGCTTCCCACAACTTCTACGCCAGAGACACGGAGTGCCGCAGCCAGGTCAGGATCCTCTGTGGGGCGGGGCTAAAGCTGGGGGCGGGGCGCTGCGACCGTGAGCGTGCGCCGTCGGGGTGCGCAGGTCTCAGGTAAGGACCTGGCTGTGTGTCCAGGGCCGTCGGGTCCCCAGCGTGGGACGCGTGGGGTCTTGTGAGACATTCTTGGGTCGGGGAGGATTCGAGCGTGACTGTCCCGCTGGTGCAGGGGCGCGGGGCAGGCGCGAGCGTTTCCGGGTCGCCGAGCGCCGCGGCGCCTGCTGGGACCTGGACCCAGGGTAGGGCCGGGCGCTCGCTTTTGGAGCCGTCCCGGGCAGCAGCCCCAGGGCGCAGCGTTGCTCGCCAGGCCGTCGGCTTCCCTTCCCCGGGGTCCATCCTGGAGGTCACGCCAGGCTGCATCACCTGCGCCCCGCCGGCTTCCCTTCCCCGGGGTCCGTCCTGGAGGTCACGCCGGGCTGCATCACCTGCGCCCGGCCTGCTTCCCTTCCCCGGGTCAAGTGTGGAGGACACACGGGGCTGCTTCCCCTGCGTTACAGCCTGTGCAAGATGGCCCCGTGGTCTTTGGTCTCCCTGGGCCGTCTTGTCTGGTCAGGTGTGCCCCAATGACTAACGGACTTTATTATTAAGTGGAACCCTCCCCATGGGCCTTGGAATGTAACAAGTCCATCTGTTTTTTATTTTTTTAAGAAAGTAAATATTGCATTACACACATTTGAACTATTTGAAACCTTAGCATCGCTCTTTAGCAATCAAAAAAGATTTTACTCAGATTAAGCTATGGAACAGGCTGCCTAACTGGGCAGATCTGCCGTGTCCCCTCCTCGCCTCAGCCCTGGAACATTAAAAACAGCCCTGAGAACTTGGTGCTGAACATGACTGTCCACGATGCAGATTACTGCCCTTTCTGCCCTACCCCCAGTTATATGTGAGTTTATTTGCTTCGTTTTTAAAATGAGGGTAATAAAGTTTAAGTCTTTTGGTCCCCGAGTGATTCCATTATTAACTTGAAAAAGGAACATCGGAGGAGGGACACTTGGTAACATAGTCCAAGGCTAATAATCCTTACAGTTAATTACCTTTCACGCTTAGGTATCTTGAAAGAGAGATAATAGAAGATGGAGGGACCCCATCATTATTATACAACAGAAGACAGTGGGAAAATACAGAACGAGATAAAAGGATTAGTGTTTTTTTTTTTAAGCTATAGAGAAACAGAGCAAAAACTTGGCTACTCTCATATATTCAGCAAGCCAAATTCTTATTTGCTGTATACCTTTCTTCAAAGACACTTCCCGATGAGTGCTGGATATTGAACTCGAGACTCCTGCTAAAAGCTCAACACTAACACCCCTTTCTTGATTCATTTTTTTCCATATGGGGCAGGGTGGGAGAATTCTTCCAGTTACTGTAGTTTTACCATTTCCACCCAGTCAGCTACCCCTTCATGGGTCAGGAACTTATATAAAAACTGGAATGGCTTCAAAGGACTGGATTATTGGGGTGTCCACGCTAGGCTTGCTGAATCAAAATCTGGGGAGTGGGAAGCAAAGTGCAGATTTAGGGATGCTTTGGGCGTGGTGCAGTTGAAGTGTTCCAACACTCAATAGAGACGTGCCCAAGGGACAGGACCTGATTAGTTTATGGTCTGGTTTCACATCCATCTAGCAAAGGCACGAACTGTGTACTCACTAACAGAATAACCTCCCTCTTGTTTCCAGAACGGCCTTCAATGCTATTCCTGTTATTAGGTTGCATTTTAATCCCTAGGTCAGCTAAAAAGTTCATCTAACCTACTTCCCCATTCTGTATTAGAGACACTAAAAAGCCTTAGTCCCTCCAGTTTTGCTTTGCAAAAAAAGGTTTAAGTCTCCTCAGAATTTCTGTGCTTTTTATCCTGTCTTGGGTTCTTGGTTTATCACATTCCTAAGGCATGGAGATTGGAACCTGTATGGAGGAATTTCTACACCAAATGTACCTAACTTTTGGGTTTCATACATAAAGCTCTGAGCTGGGCAGTGGCCGGGCACACCTTTAATCCCAGCACTGAGGGAGCAGAGGCAGGCGGATCTCTGGTGTGGGAAGTCCTTCTGTATATGTGTTGCTTTTATTAGTCAATGAATAAAGAAGCGGGCTTTGCCTGTAATAGGGCAGAGTAGCTAGGCAGGGAAAAATAAACTGAATGCTGGGAGAAAGAAGGCGGAGTCCCAAGATGCCATGTAGCTGCCAGAGGGGAAAGATATAAGCTGCCAGTTGGAACCTTGCCGGTAGACCATGAGCCTTGTGGTAAAATATAAAATAATGGAAATGGTTAAATTAAGCTAGCAATACACTTAAGCTATTGGCTAAGCAGTGTTTTAATTAACATAGTTTCTGAGTGATTATTTTGGGAGTCTGGGCTGCTGGGAAACAAACAAGCAGCCTCCTACTACAGATTTCAGTGAGTTACAGGACAGCCTGGTCTACAGGAGTTCCAGGTCAGGCTCCATAGCTACAGAGAAACCCTGTCCTAAAAAAATCAAAACCAACAACAACAACAAAAAAAAAACCCCAACCAAACAAAAAGCATTGAACCTGAGGGTGGGGGTCTTTATAGATGTGGTTAAGTTTAAACACGGTCGTTCATGTTGTTAACTTTAGGATGACTCGAACCATGGAACCGCTGGCAAGGAAGATCTTTAAAGGAGTTTTAGCAGCTGAACTTGTGGGTGTTTTTGGAGCTTATTTTTTGTTTAAAAAGATGAACTCCAGCCAAGGTAAACACAGTTCAGTGGTTAATCTTTTCTAGCTGGGTATGTACGAAATGCTCAGTGCATTTCTGGGCAAAATGTTTTTTAGATTGAAGCTATTAGACATTTTTATGGGCAAGGTGCTGGGAGAGCAAGGTGTTTGTTATTGTAGAGTAGGCAACTCACATCCGACTTGCAGACTAGGAGCCTGCGTTTTGCTGGGGAAGGTAGAACAAGTGTCCCTGTTCTGGCTCAGCAAGGAATGGCTCTGCAGAAGTGAGCGGATGGAGGCAGCCTGGCCTGCATTTTACTTGTTTGGTAATCCTAGGACGAGGTGACACTGACCCTAGGCCACAGAACTGCTTCTCAGCATTAGCAGCAGCACTGAAACCGTCTTCCCTGCTGTTCCTGAAGACAGTGGAGTAGATTTATTGGCTTTTATGATTAGTAAGTGTTATTACTTCCTTCTCCAACTAAAGCAGGGAACAGTCCCAGGGCAGTGATTTATCCTTAAAGCTAGTCCTTGGTCATCCTCAAAGTACTTCATTAGGACACTGTGTCCAGGGTGCTACTGATGTTCATAGTCTTTAAAGGAATATGAGTATAAAGGCTGTATTTTGAGATGAATGTATTTTATATCTTATTCTACAAGATTTAGTTCTTAGATTAGCAGAGGGACCTTAATACAAAATTCTAAGACACTAATATACTAAATTGTGGCTCAATAGGTTACTAAAATGACTTTTTTTTTTAAATGTCAGATTTCAGGCAAACAATGAGCAAGACATTCCCCTTCATCTTGGAAGGTATGTTTTTCTTCAAGTAAAAATTCACGCGCAAAACAGCCTGTAAATTCTGTGGTACTTTTACAACTTCGGACTAAATGCCTTTGTGGTCAGTTTCCAACACTAGTGGCCTCCTGAGAGCACAGTAAGGACTCACCCAGTTACTTAGGACAGTTAGCTCTGGGCTTCATTCTTGTTACTTCTTCTGTTGAACCCCAGGCTTTACAAATGCTGGGCAAGCCTTCCATCAGAGTTATATGCCCCACCCGACAGGAGCCTTTCAATGGTTAAGAATAGATTCCAGGATGAGACCTAGGATGGCGGTGGACATAACCATGGGTGGCTTAAGGCTACTGCTAGGAAAGACTTTTCCTCAGGCTCTGCTTCTCTGTGGAAAGAGCTCATGCCTACCTCATGACAGTTAAGGCTGGACAGGACGCCGTCACACTTACCTAAGCCAAGCATCCACCAAGTGTCCCAACAAGCAGTTCATTGCTGTTCGGGGCTTGCCTGTGAACAAGGAGCCCTACTGCCCCTTTCGTCTTGTTATGAAAGTAGTTTTTCAATATAGGTTTAACTCTTTGTATGACTTTATACATGACAGCATTTTGTTTCTATAGTTTATTACAAATCCATGGAACAGTCTGGCATGTATGGAGTGAGAGAGAAAGATCAAGAAAAGTGGTTGGACAGCAAGAATTAAGGGTGAGTAGAATCTTCATTTATTATCCACTCCTAAGCACTCATTTCCTTTGCCTTTTGGATTTTTGAGGGATTTTCATCTTCCTTTTGAAATTTTTCTTTTTCTTGATGATGCTTTTCACATCTCTGTTGTGCAGCCAATCATCACGCTCAGCTTCCCACTTGAGCTGTTTGAAGCCTTGGAGGGGAGATGAAAGATGAGTCCATGTCACTGTGGGCTCGACTCCCACAGACAGTCCTCCCGAGCGGGACTGCATCTTAGGGCGCGTGGCCTGTGCTCTCCCACCCCACCCTCCCCCACTGTGGAAACCAAGTATTTGACAAATGAAACAGTATGGAAGGTCTTATACTGAAAAGATTTTTCTTTTCTATTTTTATGAAAAATAGAAACTAGTAACATCAGAAATTTAAAAATGTCTTCAAGCATATAAGAGTAAACCTTTAGCCAAGTCAAAATAAAAGACTGACCCTCCAAGAAAAAAATGTTTTGAGTCTGTAGTCTGTTTGTGTGGTTTAAATGTCTTGCTATGTGACAAGCAAGTTTTCTGCCACCTAGGGACATCTACAGGGAAATACCAATTAAAACGCTTGACTAACAAACTCAAGGCAACCTGGTAGTGTACACTTATAATCCTATTGCTTACAAGGTGGAGAATCAAGCTATCAAGGCTAGCCTGAGCTACTGAGTGAGTTTAAGGAAGCCTGGGTTACACCCCACCCACAGGGGGAGTGGGGGTGGATCAATTTACTTACTTGCATTGTCTTTGTTAGCCATGGCGTTCATGCCAATATTATCAAACTTGGATCCCATGTTTTCATCCAACAGATGGCCAAACTTAAAAGGGAGAAAAAAAAAGAAACAGTGAGGAAGGTTAGGAGAAAACTTGAAAAGAATGGAAACAGCTACTCTCTAGTCATCACATTAGCTACCTCCTCAGCAGAGACAAACAGGCTGGAGTCATCGAATCTTTTCTTCTTTTTCTTTGATCCTAAAAAAAAAAAATTGTGTGTAGGTTATTCAAAGCGTGTGCCTATTTTTCAGATTTGGTTGCTGTTCAGGATTTATCCTCAGAAGAAACCAACAGTATCGCTCAGGATTAAAATTCCACAGGTGACATGGATGGAGTTCGTAATATGTGAAGCAAACTATACATTGTAATTCAGGTCTTACTCTTTGGACTTGAAAAGTTGACTGACAATATGTTTATTTCGCTATCAATAAATGTTTGTTTATGCTACTAAAAATAAAATATCTAATAAAACTCACCTACAGTTTAATCTATAAACCTTTCAAGGAAGTTAAAGTGTGGAACAGCGCTCACATATAACTGGACTCTATAAACATGACTGAAAAGACCATCTGGAGATACTTATTGTGAAAGGGAGGAACTTGAGACAAAACCGGGATGCATGTGAGAAACAGGTTTTCATGTTAAAGAACTATTTATCCACCTTTCGTGGCTGGGGAGATGGTTTAACCGGGACACTAGCCTTACAAGTGTGTCGGTCAGGGTCCAGATCTCAGAAGTCTTATAAAAACCTACTGCAGTGGCTGTAATCTCAGTGATGGTGAGCTAGGAGGCAGAGACAGGTGGGTGCCTAGGATCTCCTGGAGCAGTTAGCCTGGCCTATCTGGTGAAATCCCAAGCCTACGAGAAACCTTTGTCTTAAACAGAAGGTGGAAGATGCCTGAGAACTGATACTTTAAGAAAAAACCTTTTAAATGGTATCAAACCAAATTTTAAACATATATTTCCCAAAATAGTAACTGATAATACTTTTCACGTGGCAGATGCTATGATTTGAAGAGATTTAAATGCATTTTCTTACCTTGAAACGACCCAGCAAAGTCAATATTATCTTCATTCTTTCTCTTGCTTTTTTTAGTACTGGCTTTGGAGTCGACTTCATCAAATTCTGTTACCCAAGAAAGTTTACTATTAAGCCATTTTAAAAATAAGCCTGGAAAATACCAATTCAATGTATGGTACAGTCTAGTACAACAGTGCGGCCTGGCATGTCTGTTCCATGTGGGTTCACAGCCCTCCAGTCCCAACAGAATGGGCCTGGAGGACACAGGATGCTCCAGTCTCTAAGAGTGCCTGATGTAGTTTGCAAGAACGTAATTTACTCAGTGGCCATTAGTAAGACTAAACACTTCGGTAAATAAGAAACATTCGCTGCTGAGGTCCATAAGATGCAAAGCAGGGCACAGTAGCGGGCGGTGAAAGGACAAGAGGAGCCGCAGTCCACACACTACTGCGGCCGCTCCCCATCATCTGCAGTTTCCATTTTTCACCTCTTCCACCCGTGCTATACAACAATATGAATAGTGACTTTTTGGGGGGTAAACAGCTCATCACTCCTCCTTTCCTTCTTCAGGAGTGCTGAGGCTCCGAACTGGACCTCACACAGTCTAGGACACACTCTACCACTGAGCCACACCACCAGCCCCTTATACTAACGTCAAACAGAGGCCACAATACAGCTCAACTGAAACTGTTATAGAGAGGTTGTTGGTTAAAGCTAAAATTCAACACTGACATGTGTCTTACTTAGATATAGAAACCTATATTTTAAAAAAACCCTGTATTTGTCTAGGAATTAACAAGAAAGCTAAGTAATTTGTGGTTTATTTATTTTTTGTTTTTCAAGAAAGGGTTTCTCTGTGTAGCCCTGGCTGGCCTCGAACCCCCAGAGATCCACCTGCCTCTGCCTCCCAAGAGCTGGGATTAAAGGTGTGCGCCACCACCCCTTGGAAGTTTATTTATTTTTAAACGTATACTCGATTACCTTCAATTTCATCATCTGACACATCCATGAATGTTCCTCCATCTTCATCAATTTCAAAGTCTTCATCATTCATACTTCCCAGGGAAACTTCATCATCATCCAGGTCACCAACCTCATCGTCACTACTTTCGGAATCTTCCAAGTTCTCCTTAGTTCCTTTCGTTTTTTTCATATTGCTAGAAAAACAAACAAACTCCACACTTGTAAAGGAAGGCAGGGTTTTCTAAAGTGTGCTCAGGACACTAAGATATACTGTTCAACTATGTAAAAGAATTACAGACTGCTCAAGGCATTCTAAAGTTCCAGAATAAAAGTCCCTAACCCAGGTGAATTTCCCCTTATGGATCAAGTAATTTCTATGGTCTGCTGTTCTAATGAGCAATACTTTATGAAATACTGGAAAAACAGGAAAGAGTTTTACCTGGCAAAATCAATATCGTCCTTTCCAGGTGTGAAGCAGTTATCGTCTTCCAATGTGTCTGCCCGAGAACAATATACAAATTATAAGAGTGCAAAGGACAAGAGCGATACACATTATACCCCGTCAACTGCGAGGGCGAGTCAGCACGTCACACAGCAGAATGCTGTCATTAGCACTCCGCCGGCGTGTCTCACACAGACCTAGGAGCTCAATGAAATCTCTAAAATGACAAAGACAACTTTTGTGTTTACTGTTTCACTAAGCATAGACAGGATGTGACGGTGATACCATTTCACTTGATTCCATTTCAGTTAAAAATTCTCAAGCTCTACGGATTATAAAGATGAAAACGATCAAGCAGCAGACCATTGCTACTAACAGGATTAGGAGATTATGAACAATAAAAAGTCTGTCTCATCAGAGACTTGGTCTTAGGAAGGAAACACTCTTCTGCAAATAGAATTTTTTTACATATTGTTCAAAGCATATTTTCCAAGAATAAAATATGAGCAAGTTACTACATGCTATTTCTCAATCTTCCACTATAATCTGCAGATCAATGATTTCTAAAAACTAAGTTCACCAATGTTCTACATTTTATTAATAGTAATAATTTTATAAATTGAGTCAACAAAAACAAATTACCAATCATCTCTTCAAATTCTTCATCATCAACATCTTCTATGCTGTTTTCATCTGCACTGCGCTTCTGTTTCTCTTTAACAACCGCAGCTTTCTTATAATACCTAAATAAAATGCATATTACATATCTGCATAATTCATGACTGAAGACGAATAACTCTAAAAGTGTGTTACTGGATACTCAAATGAGTCAAATTTGTATTCAATATAAAAAGTGTTTTGAGTTAAACAAAACAGCTGTAAAGTTCTGAAATGTGAAGCTAATCATTTGCTTTACGGGGTCTCACCACGTGACCTAGGCTGGTTTGCACAGACAATCTTTGCCCTGAGTGCAGGGATTACAGCAATCCGCCGCCTTTGCCCCGAGTGCAGGGATTACAGCAATCCGCCGCCTTTGCCCTGAGTGCAGGAATTACAGCTATCCGCCGCCTTTGCCCCGAGTGCAGGGATTACAGCAATCTGCTGCCTTTGCCCTGAGTGCAGGAATTACAGCTATCCGCCGCCTTTGCCCCGAGTGCAGGGATTACAGCAATCTGCTGCCTTTGCCCTGAGTGCAGGGATTACAGCTCTCCGCCGCCATGCTCTTTTCAAGCTGGTTCTTCAAACTCAACTTTGTGGCATCAGAATGTCGCCTAGCATGAACAAGACCCCGAATCTGATCCCCGACAACCCACAAACAATAACCTCAACACTCATTGTCTAAGCATGAGAATATAGTGGTTCCATGTGACCTCAAATCCTAACAGTTCATCAGCTCACCCACGTCACAGTAAACCCAACATTTCCCAGATGGCATCACACCCACTGTGAAATTATTCACACTTACGTTTTTTTTTTTTTAAAAAGCAATATTATAAATTTAACTAGTCAACCAGATAAAGACACTAAAAGCAGCAGCAGTGACTTCTGAGCTCACTACAGCTTCAGAGTGCACTTCATCACTTCTACCTGAAGTCAAGGTCCAGATAATGACTTCCGAGTTACTGCTGTACTAAACTCACAGATGAAGGCTATGAAGGAATCACTACTTAATACGAAAAAGAAACCAGGTGTGATAGCATGTTTATAATCACGTTTGGGAGACGGAGGCAGGAGGATCACAAGTTGGAAGCCAGCTTAGGCAATACAGTTCCGAAGAAACGAAAGCCTAAAGTTTCACAAAGTCAGATTCAGAAACCAAATTTATATACTCCATTATTAAAATCCTCAAGCTGACCAATTTCACTAAGGTTTTGAGGAATAGCAGAATCAGTAAATTTCCTTTGAAAAGAAATGGACATATAACCTGATCTTTTCATAATTGTCCAATATCAATAAAGCACTGTATCCAACATTAACATTCAGACATTCCCCAAGGATGCTGTACCACCTTACCTGTAGAAAAACACTTCATCCACTGGGATCTGGCTTTCTTCTTTTGCAAGGAACTCTTTACTATTCACTGCAGAAACAAGACATTTTATTATGACCATTTCCCTGTGCCGCTCCAGCTCTCGGGCTATAGCTAACACACCGGCAGAGTGAAATCTTAAAAAGATGACAATGGTGGAAAGAGGTCCAGCAGTGTAGTAGGGAAAAACAGGCAAAGCCGGGCGGTGGTGGCGCACG